AAATCTTCAACGAAATGAGTCGATTTGTTTTGACTCATTCAATTTTAAAAAAGTAGTGTTTTTAAAAATTTGAAAAAGTATATTTTTGAGTCAGATTTTGAAACTTAAACCAACGATAATTAAACATAAAAATTAATTTTCACTAAATATTTGCTTTTAATTAAATTATTTCATTATAGTTGAAAACATGTTGAATTGAAAGGCATACAAATGTTTTCATCATTTTAAGGTATGCAATTTGAAATGACAAAATCTTCAACGAAATGAGTCGATTTGTTTATGACTCATTCAATTTTAAAAAAGTAGTGTTTTTAAAAAGTATATTTTTTAGTCGGATTTTGTAACTTAAATTATCGTCTGCACTAATAAATTTATAAATTAATAAAAATATCGTCTGCACATATCTAAGATTAGGTCACCGGATGATTAAGATTAAGCCACAATTCGTGAAAATCCGAGTATTATTCAATGTGCACCGTTTATTTATTAATTTATAATTATTTCATTATTATTTTATTTATTTATTTATGCACTGTACATTAGAAGTTCACCCTATTAAGATTCTATTTCGTATTGAACTTGGAGAACTGGCTATGGATAATTGGGTATACTATAGCCTACGTCACGGATCGTGTTATTCCTACTACACTGCTGGACAATTGCTAAGGACGGATCACAAATTGCAATGTAGCATAACATTAAGCGAGACATGAGACCTAGTAGGATAAAGTATAGTTGCCACACTGTTCAGACATTAGAATAAAGAACATTCATTGTTCTGGAAAGTACAAAAGCTATGAAACATCTGAAAGAAAAAAAATGTTCATTTGATGCTGCGTACGGAANACGATAATCAAACATAAATATTAATTTTCACTAAATATTTTTTTTTAATTAAATTGTTTCATTATAGTTGAAAACATGTTGAATTGAAAGGCATACAAATGTTTCCATCATTTTAAGGTATGCAGTTTGAAATGACAAAATTTTCAACGAAATGAGTCGATTAGTTTCTGACTCATTCAACTTTTAAAAAAAAGTAGTGTTTTTAAAAATTTGAGAAATTATATTTTTGAGTCAGATTTTGTAACTTAAAATATCGTGTGCACTAATAAATTTATAAACTAATAAAAATATCATCTGCACATATCTAAGATTAGGTCAGCGGATGATTAAGATTAAGCCACAATTCGTGAAAATCCGAGTATTATTCAATGCGCACCGTTTATTTATTAATTTATAATTATTTCATTATTATTTTATTTATTTATTTATGCACTGTACATTAGAAGTTCACCCTATTAAGATTCTATTTCGTATTCAACTTGGAGAACTGGCTATGGATAATTGACTGAATGTAAACAATAACAAGCCTCCTAAAACCGGAAGAAATTTAGAGAACTTCCGGTGTATCCCTCCGCTTATGTTATGTTTACTAGGCGTTGCGTGTACAGGTTTAATATTCTAGGTTTTATTATCATCTTTCATAAGTTTTATTATTATGAATTGTGTTTAAATTTACGCTTAATTTTACCATTCATGATAGTTTTCTGTTATTCATAAATTCTATCAGGTCGTGAGTCTAAAATATATTTAACAAAATTAATATCACAACATAAAGAAGGGCAAAGGTTAACCATGTTTTGAGTGTTATTCCTTATTTGACTATATTTGCGTGAAATAGCGCCGTTTGCTATTTTTGGGGTAGCATAATAGCAACCTTGTGAAGTCCTTCGGATTCATATGTTGTTTGTTTTGCTAAAAGTTAAATTGAAATAACGTCTTAAATTGAAATAACATCTTAAATTGAAAACACTACAAGTATAATAATATTGGATGGAAGGATTTTTCAAGCTTAGGAGTAAAAATTAGTCGGAAGTAGTAAAACCCGGAAATCTTACGACGAATTTTAACCCCTAGCGCCATCTGCGTTTAGCGTTACTCAGTCAGCCATTCTTTTAGAATCTCGATCGCCTGATTGGTAGGGCACTGGGCCCATGTCCAAGAAGTCGTGGGTTCGATCCCCACCGCCGAAGACAACCCATGGAGTAAAGTGACTGATGCACTTTGAATCTGTCGAGTCGCAAAAGTCCTCCATGTTTCCATAACAATTCAATACCTCTGGGGGTACTGGATTAGAGATCGATCGTTCTCTGATTCAGGTCAAAATTACGATCTGTGGATGAATTAATGGATGTGTGAATGGGTCCACCCTATAAAACGGGCTGTGACGTGTGTGTGGCTGAAGTCGAATTCTTGGCCATAGGATGGCGCCACTGAAAAGCATGTAGCGCACACTCTGCCTTAAATTTGCTAGGTTTCAACGAGCAGGCTTGCCCGTGGGGCAAGTGGCATCAACAGCAGTAAATGGTGATTGATGCGAGTTAAATCTGTCGAGTAGCAATGTCCCTCATGTTCCCGTAACAAATCAAAACCTCTGGGGGTACTGATCCATTAGGTTCCTTGTCTTCTGGATCTTGTTCAAAATTACAAAGCCACGGTGTTGAACATTAGTAGTCGTAAACCCAAATTTGGATCGGCTGTTAAACGACAGCTATGAAGCCATTCTTTTAGTAAATGTAAGTGAATAAATAAGTGATATCTTTTCCTTGGTATATGCCATAGATTTCCTACTTTAAGTGCTTAACAACTCCCCCCCCCCTGATTCTTTCTTTTACTTCATTTGTTTTTTGTTCAATATTTTCAATATTGTAGATTTTTAATCATACCGTTAATTTATTGAAAATTTCTACAAGTCTATAAATTTATATATGGTTTTTTAAATAATTTATTAGCTGCTAAATAAAAACTAAATGATAAACTTAAGATATAATTTACCTTAGATTTCATTCTTTATTATTTATTATAATATATACTTGGATTAATTAATGGATTATTTTTAAATGTCTTCCTTATAGAAATTAGCCTAGTAATATTCTAAATGGTGATTTGTGGGTCACATTGGTAACTTTGACGATGTCTCCTTTTATATTTATAATGATCCATTATTCAACCTTAGACCCGTTATTTACCCAGCTTAATTTTTTCTTTAATCATTTGCTGTATTTCTATTTTTGTTTAATCGTTCCCTACATTTGTAAGGTAAAATCGAACCATTTATTATTACCCAGAAATGTTCCATTAACGTTAGCGATCAAAGGATTTCTTCTGTTATCAAATTCACTTCCAAAAACTTCTTCTTTTTTAAACAGCCATAATTTTCTGGTGGCAACAAGTTGCCATCTGATGGTTGTGTGGAAAGTAATGTACCGCGACAACTAAATCATTGTGTAGCTATTTTTAGATTCAGCAGTACTGCGGAAATACAACATGCGCCGCTCATAAGTATGGGGGTGGGCCTCGCCCTGCGTGGGTGTTTTACGGGGGTGTGTCGGTAAACGAAAAGACTATTTTTGTTCTGGGAAACAGCCAGTGAAATGCAAAATCAATACTTTTATCAATTGTTACAGAATTTGGTATTCGAAAATAGAATTTGGTATTCTAAAAATATTTTAAAAGGAACGTCGTTAGCTTCATATTTTTGTAAAACTTAGTTATTTTTTGATTTACCAATTTAAATTTCAAATCAATTGTTTTCAAAGCTTAAAGGGAAAACAGAACTTAAATCTCGAACAATTCTGAAAGAGTAATTAAAACGAATAAAATTACATTATTTATTTTTAAATGAATAATTTCTAACAGAACTATTTTTAAAAAAATAAATAAAGCTACATTGGATGAATAACGTCTTTAAGATTTCGGGTGAATCATGCAATTCTATATATAACCTATATTGATTGAGTAACTGCTATAAAATATGGGGTCAATTGGAAAATTTTAAGTAGGGCTAATATTGGCTGAATAACGGCTATAAAGTCAGGCTATGAGTCAGACACTTCTATATCGAGCCGACATAGGTTAAATAACGGCTATAGAATATCGAGTGATCTTAACAGATCTACATAGGACCGATATCGGGTAAATAAAATATCGGGTGAATTTGACAATTTTATATCGGGTAAACATCGGCTTAATAGTGACTATGAAATATCGGAAGAACTTAACAAATCTACATAGGGTCGATATTGGAAAAATAAGGGAAGTAAAATATCGGGTGAATTTGACAATTTTATATAGGGTAAACAACGGTTTAATAGTGACTATAAAATTTCGGGTGAAGTTAACAAATCTACATAGGGTTGATATTGGGTAAATAAGCGAAATAAATTATCGGGTGTATTTGACAATTTCGTATACGGTAAACAACGGCTGAATAGTGGCTATAAAATATCGGGGGAACTTAACAAATCTACATAGGGCTGATATTGGGTAAATAAGGGAATTAAAATATCGGGTGAATTTGACAATTTTATATCGGGTAAACATCGGCTTAATGGTGACTATAAAATATCGGATGAACTTAACAAATCTGCATAGGGTCGATATTGGGTAATAAAATATCGGTGAATTTAACAATTTTATAAAGGGTAAACAACGGCTGAATAGTGGCTATAACATATTGGGTGAACTTAGTAAATCTACATAGGGCCGATATTGGGTAAGTAAGGGAAATAAAATATCGGGTGAATTTGACAATTTTATATAGGGTAAACATCGGCTGAATAGTGGCTATAAAATATCGGATGAACTTAACAATTCTATAACGGTAGAATATTGGGTAAATAAGGGAAATAAAATATCGAGTGAATTTGACAATTTTATGTAGGGTGAACATCGGCTGAATAGTGACTATAAAATATCGGATGGATTGAACATTTCTATAACGGTAGAATATTGGCCCTTTAAAACCTTGTTGAGGCAAGATTGGTGAATATTGGCCCAATAAGTTCCCAAGTTATTTTGCTACTAGGGATTTTAATCCTTAGTTTGTTTTTCGCTTTTGTGTATTTTGTAGCAACACGACATCAACTTCTCCCGTTTTTCAAATTAATTAGCGTAATGTAACTATTGCCCTTTAACAAGTATAATTCTCTTTTCAGATTTTGAAAATTGAATTTAGATAAAGATGGCGAAGTTTTTCCATAGTTATAACTTCTTCTGGTGTACTCTTTTCATGTTAGCAGCATTATCTAGTTTCACAATTCTCACTTTAGCAGAAAAAAATAATTCAAAATCTTCTGAAACAACAACAGCCGAAGAATCCACAAGCCAAGAAGATAACAAAGGTATCAATAATTAAGATTTTTCAATTTCTAAATTTTTTAAAAATAAGGGGTGTCAATAATGTTCGATTTTAGTTTTTGAAAAACTACTGCATCGATTTTCAAAAAAAATTTTTTTTGGTCCTCTTTCTCCTTTTGTTTTGGTTCCTGTTTTTACACAAAGTAGTTGTTTGTTAAAATTTATGGTGTTATTTGTATTTATCTATTTATTTTAGTTCGAAGTGAAATATTTGAAGAAAAAAAGTTCTCAATGGCTTTTTTTAAGAAACTATTGTATTTTAAGCTACCAAAAATTAGAAACAAAGCTAACAAAAAAGTAAAAAGTTTGAAACTGACAGTCGAATTTTTCGCTCAGTAATAATATTTTAAAATTTTATTACAAAAATATAAAACCTAATTAAATGGATATTTTTCGCTTTTCAGACAAAGTATATCCGTTAAAAACATTAATATTCTTCATGCAAAGAAGCATATATACGGTTCAATAATAATAATAATAATAATAAAACTGTCTAAAAAAATAATTTTTAAGGAATTAGCCGAAATCCAGTGTTGTGTTTGTGTTTCACAATTGTATTAAATACTTAAAGAATCACTCTTTTTTCCATAATTTGTTTTTAGAAAAAAGATCTCAAGAAGAAATTATGTTCGGCAACCAACAAAATAAACCCAACGGTTTGGTGGATGATTTAATGAGTATGCCTGAGAGCGTTGAAGATAATTACAATGGTTCACAAGGTACTCATTTCAAATACTTTAAAATGTAAAATTTTGTATCTTTAAACTATTATAAGCCTTGAAGTGAGGCGTCACGCATAGTAATCTATATTTGAATAATTTAAATTAAATAAACCAGCATCGCTCTAATGATTTGCGTTGACAATGAATCTAACTTTAGTGTTAATATTTTATGTGTCATTCAATAGTGTCAATTAAAATTATTAATATATACTGGTTGATAGTTCACTGATAAGAAATAAGGCTTCGTTTTTCTAAATAACAATATGAAACACGTATGAGTAAAAAAAAAAGTACAAAACTGTACTTTTAAACCTTAATAATTTCTCAATTATTATTTCTTTTCATTTGCTTTCATACAATTAAGCGAAATAAAATACGCTGGTAAACTTCTTTGCCCTGATAGAGATATATTTAAGTTTCTTAATACATCTCTATATTTAAGTTTCTTAATATATCTTCATTTTGAAATTTAATCCACCAAAGCAAAATGAAAAAAAATATCTCATTATGAAAAAAAAAATTCTGTTTTTTATTTATCCGCGTCTTTGATCAGATAAACTTTCCTTTAGTTAAGGACACTAAATGATTATCCCTTATTTATAGTAGATAAAAAATAGGGTAAGCCTCTCAAGGGTACGCGATTTATCCACTCTCCGCACTTTCCTTCTCTCCTTTACCATGGTTTCGGTAAATCTCGCTTTTCTCCCACTAAAATATATCCCAACTTATTCTGGAAATGCACTTCCTAGGGAAAAAGGCAATATTTGCCGAAACCATGGAAACAGAGAGAGGTAAAGTGTAGAGAGAGGGAAAATTCGTGTAACCTTGAGAGGCCCATTCTACACACAAAGAGTAAATTACAATGCGTAAGTCAAAAGTTGCTATTTATAAAACAATGGTAGGTCAATAGAAATGTATTGGTTTTCATTAATCTTGTGATAATATGTATTGTGAGCTTGTGTTTCTATTATTTTGCAGCGGCTCAAGATTCGAAACCAGAAGAGACATCATCAGCGCAAGATGAGACGCAATCCGGTTTTTCTGATTGGGATTCCGCTGCATATCAAGAGACATTGCGTGAGTCTTCTTAATAAACATAGCATGTGGTCAGTGGCGTAGTTTTATTGTATGTTTGGAGAGAGCTACGCCTTCTGACATGCATCATATATATATATATATATATATATATATATATATA